GGCTTTGGAAGGGGACCCCAGGCCCGCCGATTGCAGGCTCCGCCCCTTCCCAAGCCTAAAGCCTCTGCCAGATGGCTGGCTGGGAGTGACCTGGGTGCCAAGGAGGTTCTCCAGATCCAGGTATGTATGCAAATTAACCGCCATCTTTGTTGGGTTAATTTGCATACTCTCTCTGATTGGCTGTGGGCATAACGAAGGTACAGTCAATTTACATGTTTCTCCATTATTAGGTAATATATGGAACCCTATGTAATATGCATTTCAGCCCATCCTTCTACTTCCATTGCTACTCTTCAGTTGGAACATTTTCAGCTTCTTCCCACCTCAAGTATTCAAAAATTCTTTTACTTTTGTTGGTAAGGCTCTCCCCACATCTCATCCCCTGGCTTACTCTATTGACTTATCAGACCTCACCTTAAATGTTACTTCCTTGGGAAAACTTCTTGACCCCAACCCTTTCACTTAGCATGATACTTTCCTAGTCCCTCCATGCTCTCTTAAAGAATAAGAGATTTTTTTTTTTACTGCTGCATAGTATTCCATGGTATAAATGTACCACCTCTTTTTTATCCACTCATCTATCAATGGGCACTTGGGCTGTTTCCAGATCATAGTTACTGTAAATTGCATTGATATGAACGCATATATTCTGTGATTTGTATTTCAGGTTTCTTAGTATATAGTCCTAGAAGTAGGATCACTGGGTCAAATGTCTTCTATGTACAATATCATGTCAGCTGGGAATAATTAGAGTTTTACTCCCTCCTTTCCAATTTGGAAGCCTTTTATTTCTTCTTGTCTGATAGCTGTGGCTAGCACTTCCAGTACTATATTGAATAGGACCAGTACTATATTGAATAAACTCTTATTTCTGTTCTTAGGGGAAATGGTTTTAGTTTTTGTGCATTGAGTATTTTGGCTGTAGGTTTGTCATATAGGACCTTTATCATGTTGAGATATTCCTATCTATTCCTACTTTGCTGAGAGTTTTTATCAAAAATGGGTGTTTGATTTTGTTGAATGTTTTTTCTGGGCCTATTGATATGATCATTACACTTACTTTTCTTTACCTCTTCCCACTCACTCCAGTTTGACATCTGCCCTCAGTACTCTGAACTCCTCTGCAAAGATCATTAATTATCTATTCATGCCTAAATCCAATGAATTCTTGTCATCTTTAACTTGCTTGACATATTTTCAGTGATTGAAAGTACTCCCTCCTTTAAATTTTCTTCTTCCTACATTTTAAAGATAGTTTTTCCCTCAGCATTCTACTTTTATTTCTCTGGCCTCTCTTCCTTGGCAGGGAGGGAATGCTTCTTTTTATTTACTCACTCCTATGAGTGCTGAACAAATAGTGTAGGATTCTGTCTTCTTCACAAGGGTGAGAGGGGATGAGGGGTGGGAGGGAAGCAGGGATTGTATAGAGGAGAGTAGAAAGTTTTTTTAATTGGCTTGTTTTTGCTACCTTTAGGTTGGTGAACTAAGCAAATACATATATTCCTTAGTCTTGGAGACCAAAAATAAATGTGAAAGATAAAATAATATTTGTAGTTACAAATAAAAGAAATTTAAGTATAACACTTAAACAATCTAAAAGTATCTGCTAAAACTAGGTTAAAATTAATAGTCACCAAAATTGGACATCTATATATATAAAAGCCTAAGCAACCATTACGACTGATCAACTGGTTGACTGTTTGGTCACTATGATGCGCACTGACCCACAATTAACCTCCCATGGCCAGCAAACCTCCTGCATTCCCTCCCCCTGGCTGGCCAACCTCCGATGGTCCCTTCCCCCAGCCAGCTGGCCCTGATCAGGACTGGGCAAGATGGCCCCAATTGCCAGCCAGGTTAAGGGACCCCACCCATGCATGAATTCATGCACTGGGCCTCTAGTAATTATATAAAAACCTGAAATTTACATACTCACAGCTCCCAAAATATATCTACAAAAGGCCTACTAGTAAATTAGTAGCTAATAAAATTCTAATTCTCCTGATATAACACACTTTCCAAGATTGAAGATTAGAAAAGAATGAATATTTACTTATATGTAATGTTTATTCCATTCAGAGTTGAGTCGTAATGGCAAAAACTCAACACCTCCTATGAATCTGTGTGTGTGTATCCCCCTGAGCTATAAGTAACAGACTTGTATACTAGCAGAAGGCAATAATAACTGAAATGTCTTCTTTACTGTTGATATTTTCACTGCATGGTACCACTCACATCTTTGACTTCAATTTATCAGTACTATCAATCTTTAAATTTTTAGCCTATATCCCTCCACCAATCTCCAAAATTATGTATCCAGAGCTTGTAAATGACAATGCAGAAATTTTACTCCTAGCACAACTCATTTTGCTCCAGCACAGATATAAAATATATATTGATTTCTAATTATTTAATAGTCTTTCACAGTATCTTTATATATATTAGAGGAACAAGAACTGAATGTATTACATGCTTTTGAGGACTAGGCCAATATTTCATCCACTCTGTATGTTCAGTGTCCAGCAGAGTGAATGGTCAGCTCATGATTGCATTTGTTCACTCCTGACAGAAACCTGGAAGCAATCTTCAACATCTTTCTAACCTCTCCAGCACTCCAGCAGCTTCCATCACAGTTGCAACTTCCAAATTTCTCTTTGGAGGGTTTAGGAGTAACACCTAACTGGAAGGAGAGAAGCCCTCCAGCTCATGGTGCCGTGTATCTTCTGTTTCACTGTGGGCACTTCATTATTAAGCCTTGACATTCACAGCCGATAGTACAATAGTTACCTGAATACATCTTGACTCTTCATATCTTCAGAACCATTGTTCATGCTGTTTCTTCTGTTTCAAGTGATCATAACATCCTTTTCCTCCTGGCTAACCCTCACTTCACCTTCTCAAAGCCACTCTAGTTTCATCTTTTGGAAGACTCTCTTGTGAAACTTTCAATTGGTTGATAGCCTCTCCTTTGAGCGCTGTGTGGAAATCTCTTATCTTAGCTCTCACCACTTCAAATTATAAGTATTTGTTTGTGTCTACCCTCCTCGCAATATCCTCTGAGGTAGATGCTATTATCAGCACTATTTAAACGATGAGAAATTGAGGCAGGGAAAGGTAAAACAGCTTTCCCAAAGCCAGTAGCTAGTAGGTGGTAGAGCCACAGTTCACATCTAAGCAGTCAGATTTTAAAGCTCCTACTCTAACCCTTAAGCTCTCAAGGACAGGGGCCGTGCCTTATTCTCATTTGCTTCCCTGGTGTCTCCCATGGTGCCTAGCCCATGAATGCAATAAATTTGATGGTGAGCTGAAAATTAATGCATTTTTACGCTGTAAAGCAAAAGCCATACATTTCCTGTTCCCTAGCAAAGTTTCACCCGATTGTAACATCTATTGATAATTTTATCTGAGTCAATCATTTCTATAATGGTTGAAAATAGTGATTTTCCTAATATAATTTCTTCTATGTGTGCTAGTTCACATTCTACTGTCAAGAAGAATTGTCATCCCTATACCTAAAATTTTAAGCATAAACATGCATGCATAGTTCATTTTGTTGCAATCCATTTCTATCATTATTCACTCAGGATACTCAAATTCTCCCACATTTACTAGCAATAAGTGGAGGTACAGTCAAAAGTTAGCTATAATTTCCTTCCCCCCAGAAGTAATTATTGTTTATTATTAATTTTTGTATATCCTTTTGGTCTTTTTTCTATGATTATATGTTTATGGGTTTTTTTCAATTGTAGTTTACATTCAATATTATTTTGTATTAGTTTCAGGTGTACAACCTACTGGTTAGACAATCATATACTTTATAAAGTGGTCCTCCCAATATTTCAAACACAATGACACCATACATAGTTATTACAATGTTACTGACTATTTCCTATGCTGTCCTATTTCCTTTCAACATGTCTTCATCATTCTTTGAAAATCTTGCTTTCTTGCACAAGAGCTTTCAAGGGCATTTAATACATTCCCTCTCTCTGCTCTGGAATCAGCCTTCTCTAGAGTTTGATTGTGTTTGGTGAAGAATGGCCTTTAGGAACCAAGATCTGCAGGCACATCATATATTTCAAAATGGTAAAATAACTCTACCTGTTTTCTTGGGTTGGCATATGGAAGACTGGTGAGATTTGCAATCTTAACTCTTGCATTACCTGAGTGACCTTGGCAACTACCTTCCTTCCTTGGAGCTTGACTCCCCTTCTGGAAAGACAGTGCAACAGATGAAGAATGTATTTCTTAACGTTTTTGGGGTCAGCAACATATTTGGGAACCTGATAAAGACTATAGTCCCAACTCCCCAGAGACAAATTCAAGTAGGCAAAAATTTGCATATATTGGGGGAGGGGGCGGAGGCAGGGCTGAGGCTCCGAAGCCCAGGTGAGGTTACAGATCCCTGCATTAAGGTCTCTTCAACGCTAACATTCTGTTAATCTATAAAGGACCATGCAGCTGTCAGGATTACTCCTCAGAGACATCAAAATGTGGAGGGGTTTATATGGAAACAAAATGAGAAAAGGATACCAAGAAATGAGCCCTTGAGCAATGCTGTACTTTACATCCCCCCAAGTTCTCCGACCCTGCCAAAAGGAAGACCCTCCGAAGTCCTCAGTGAGAGGTTTTGGCGGGAAGGTCCCGGGGCGGGCGGGGAACGCGGGAGGGAGCTGGGGAAGGAGACCCAAGGGGCAGGCCCGGTCCAGGTCGCTGCATTCCCCCTCTGCGCCCACCAGGGTTCGCTCTCGGCCTGCGGCTGGGGCGCCCGGGAACGGGGCGGACTGGGGTGCACGCCCGCCCCTGGCAGCAGCCAAGCGGCGGGGAGAGAGCGAGCTCAGAGCGCCGCGGCCCGGAAGGAACGTGCCGCCCAGGCCCCGCCGGTCTTCCCACCTTCCCTCCCGCCGCCGACGTCGGCGCCGCTCTGGTCGCCATGGCGACCAATCCCGGCCGGCCCCGCCCCCGCCCCCCGCCGCGGCCCCCTGACGTCGGCGCACGTCAGCGGCGGCGCGCGCCTGGCTGGGCCCAGCGGAGCTGGAGGCACTGAGGAGCGCGGAGCCCCGAGCCCAGAGCGGCCGTCGCCCGAGCTCCGCCGCCCGCCCGCCAGCCCGCGCTCCAGGCTCCCGTCCGCCGTGCCCAGCCGCGGGACCCAGCATGGTCATGGCGGATGGCCCGAGGCACTTGCAGCGCGGGCCGGTCCGGGTGGGGTTCTACGACATCGAGGGCACGCTGGGCAAGGGCAACTTCGCCGTGGTGAAGCTGGGGCGGCACCGGATCACCAAGACGGAGGTGCGGCCCGGGCTCGGGCGGCGGGGGCGTCCGAGGAGGCGAGGGTCCGGGAGAGGAGCTGTCTGTCTTCCGAGAGGGGCGGCTGCAGGGGGAGGCCTGGGGGGACCCCCCCGAGGCCGGGTCACCGGCGGAGGCGAGAGGGCCTGGGACCGGGGACCGGGGACCCGGGAGGTGCAGGGGGTCGCGGCCGGGTCATTCGGACCGAGCGCCGTCGTCCATCGGGAAACCCGACCGGCCGGGGCTGCGCCTCCCCTGCGCCACAGTCCCGGTGCGGCCACGCGGAATTTCGGCCGGAGCCTCCTTCCCCCTGGCCGTGACCGGGTCTGTGGCCTCCGCTCGGGAGCCCAAGTTCCGCGTCTTCCCTGCTTTCGGCGGGGGGCGGGGAGGCAGGGGAAGTGAGGTGCTCCCTCCCGGGCTGCGCGGCGGGGGACGCCGCCGGCCCCGAGGAGACCCCGGAGACGGGGCACCGCGCGTCCCCGTGACCTCGGCGCCCCGCACGGCCCCGCGGGGAAGGGACCCCCGGGGCGGAGCATGCCCGGACGGCCGCTGTCATCGCTCCCTCCTGCTGCCCTGACAGTGTCTCCGGGTTGCTGGTTTGATCTAACAACACTCCAGACAATAGAGCCGGTGACAATGGTCATCTCTGCAGTTGGCACGGGTGGCGGGCTGGCCTTTCTCCCCCGGGGCCGCCGCCTGGCCAGGTGTGCCTCCGGGCTGTGCCGCCTGGCTGTGCCCCCGGGCCGGGCACACGCTGCCCCGGGCCGCCGCGGACTCCGCTCTGCGCTCCCGGAGCCTCCGCCGCCGCCCGGCGGGTCCAGCACCGCCCCCCGCACATTCTGATGCTCCGCACGCACTTCCTCGCCAGCCTCTTCTTACCTAACCGCCCCCTGCCTTCCACCGCCTCAAGCTGCTCTCCTTGGGGTCTCTATTTTAAGATGTGCAAATTAAATACTTTAGAACAACGGTAGACCCAGAGCCATTCTTTAGGAGAGGAAAAAAAAAAAAAAAAAAAAAAAAAGCTTGTGTTTTTGACGTGTTCCACTCTGCCTCATTGTAGTTGTTCTTGTTATTTCATCTTTTTTTTTTTCAGTTCTTTTTACAGTGTTCACCCCTTTCCGTTTTTCCTCATAATAGTGTGGGTGTACTAGGGTTTGGATGTGGAATAACAGTGCTTTTGTTTTTTTCTTTTTCTTTTTCTTTTTTTTCAGAAAGGCAGTGTATGGTGAAGGGCGTTTGACCACTTGAGTAATTTTCATAGCTGTTTTTCTTAGAAGTTTTGCTTCACTTTGTTTTTTTCCTTGTTTTTGTGAAGGAATCCATTTCCAGAAAAAAAAAAGGGGTGTATGTCATTGCGTCATCTTCACTTTTCACCCTCCCTTACTGATCTTGAAGTAACCCAAATATGACATATTTTTTAGCATCAGTACCAAGGTTACAGGTTTTACTCTCACAAATTTCTCAAAGTTAGCAATTCAGATTAAGTTTGTAATGATAAATACTGTGACTAACAGTGTGATTACTTAATCTGATCCAGCATTTTTTTAAATGAAGAAACTGATTCCATTCTCCTAAAGAACTCTGGTCTAATGATATGCCATTTCTGCTTTAAATTACATTAAAAGAAGGCATTTGTAAAGTGTATTTTTATATGAGCCCTTGCTTAATAACTGTCTGAAAAGCAAACAAGTTGCATGTTACAAAAGCTACAGAACTTTGAACTATATATTGTTATGTGGTTAAATTCCAAACCCGTCAGTTCATATCACTTTTTTTTCCCTCATCGGGTCTTATCAGTATTAGTAGCAACATTTAATTGTGAGTTGTTATTCATTAGATGAAATTTGAGTAATAGAGTATCTATATAAATTCTGCTTAAGTGGGGCTTATAGTGATTGACACATTCTGTTGAGCTTGACAGTTCAAAAGATGTCAGTTTCAAACTGATACATCTTGTAGAACTAGGGGGCACTGTGAAATAGTATCATGATTTGGCTATCAGATGGAGTGAGATCAATTTGTAATTGAAGGCATAGGTCAGATTATGAAAGAGCACCCAGATCCTGAGTTGTGTGTGTAGTACATGTGTGTGTAAAATGATTTATGTTAAGAGCTAAATTTCTAGTCCACAGAGCCCATTTCCTTTGTGCTTTTCATTCTTTTTTTTTTTAATATATATTTTATTGATTTTGTACAGAGAGGAAGGGAGAGAGATAGAGAGTTAGAAACATCGATGAGAGAGAGTCATCGATCAGCTGCCTCTTGCACACCCCCTACTGGGGATATGCCTGCAACCAAGGTACATGCCCTTGACCGGAATCGAACCTAGGACCTTTCAGTCCTCAAGCCGAGGCTCTATCCATTGAGCCAAACCGGCTTCGGCTCCTTTGTGCTTTTCTAAAGAAGGTGCCCTTAACATATAAAAAGAAATAGTGTGCCTGTGACCTAGGGTGAGTGTGTTTGTGGTGATTTGGTGTGATTGGAGATACTCAAGTTGAGAGGGGTGAGTGAAATAGCAGGGTAATTAAGGAAAGGTTCCTGTAGATCTCAAGTTTTGTAAAGTTGCTGTGAACCTTTATGGTAATTTAGATGCAATTGTAAGAACGATTGTTCTTAGAGTATACTATTTGTTGTTAATGAAGGTTTTTTAAAAAGAAGTATTTGTTATTGTCATCAATTCACTGTATATTTATGTCTTTAATAAATACAATAGCTACTTCAAATATAAATAAAATGGCTAGTGGACACTTTTAAAGTTTTATTAAACATTATTTTAGGTTCTCATTGCTGAGCACAGTACAGTGATTACAGTGAAAACAATGTATAAAGAGCAGTATCAGTAAAATATAATTATACTTATTGCTTATAAAAGGTCCTTCAATATAGTATACTTTATTTTATTTTATTTTATTTTATTTTATTTTATTTTATTTTATTTTATCTTATTTTATTTTATTTTTTTACAGAGAGGAAGGGAGAGAGATAGTTAGAAACATCTATGAGAGTCATCGATCAGCTGCTTCTTGCACGCCCCCTACTGGGGATGTGCCCGCAACCCAGGTACATGCCCTTGACCAGAATTGAACCTGGGACCCTTCAGTCCACAGGCTGATGCTCTATCCAAACCTGTTTCGGCAATATAGTATACTTTAACATCAGTATGTTTGTGTGTTTTAAAACTTAGAGGTCTTTTCTAAAATTGGAACAAATTTAGAAACAGGAACAAATTTTAGGGCTTAGTTTAAACATCAATGTCATGAGCAATTGGTCCCTTTTATTTTGAATGGGCTCTTCTCCGCCTCTTGTTCACTATCTTAAAAAATAGTGTTTTCTACAGCGCTTGGAAGATCCAAGAGTGTTGGAATTTTAGGGTGAGAAATCAGTAGACAAAAGAGAGAGTCATTTTGGTTTAATCAGTTAAATAGCTTAACATTAAAAAATATAATCACACCATCATCTGAAGCAGTGTTCTTACGTTGGACTTCTGTGTAAATTTCCAAACGAAAGGGAAGGCTTCATAATTTAATGCAGTACTTCATAAAAGCTTTGTAGTATTGGTTTGTGATTTATGAATTAGAGTAGCTAATTTTGTAAAATTAGCATAATGGGAAAAGAATAATAGCATTTAGACTATTAAACTATTTAAGTAGTAATACTATGTGTCCTTGAGTAGTGTTTTATTTTATTAATACTCTACTAGCAAAGGAACTTTTTCCTTTTATCTGATTATATGGCTAGTTTTTTTGTCTGTAAAATAAAATTCCAGAGAAATCACTTGTACCCTTAAACTTTTTCTTGTTTTCTATTAAAAAAGTATAGTCTTAATGTATAAAATATAAAGAATAGTTCACAAAAAAGTACATATATAATTTCTTCATCAATGGGAATAAATAATTTTCAACATAATGGTATGTTTCCCTCTAGTCATCTTTTTTTTTTAATATAGTTTGTTGATTTTTTATTTTATTTTATTTTATTTTATTTTATTTAAATATATTTTATTGATTTTGTACAGAGAGGAAGGGAGAGAGATAGAGAGTTAGAAACATCGATGAGAGAGAGTCATCGATCAGCTGCCTCTTGCACACCCCCTACTGGGGATATGCCTGCAGCCAAGGTACATGCCCTTGACCGGAATTGAACACGGGACCCTTCAGTCTCCAAGCCGACGCTCTATCCACTGAGCCAAACCAGTCTCGGCTATTTTTTTTTTTTTTTTTTTTTTTTTACAGAGAGGAAGGGAGAGGGAGGGAGAGGGATAGAGAGTGAGAAACATGGATGAGAGAGAAACATCAATCAGCTGCCTCCTGCACGCCCCCTACTGGGGATATGCCTGCAACCAAGGGACGTGCCCTTGATTGGAATCGAACCCGGGACCTTTCAGTCCGCAGGCCGATGCTCTATCCACTGAGCCAAACCAGTCTCACCTCTAGTCATCTTTTTTCATGCATTTTTCCATAGATGAGATCACATGGTAGGTACACATATATACATTGTATCCCCTTTTCTACTTACAGCCTGAACATTTTGCTTATTATATGTAACTTGATAAAACATTTAAAAAATATTTTTAGCCTTTTTTTTTTTTTTTTTTTTTTTTTTAAAGAGAGAGAGAGAGAAACATCAATCAGCTGCCTCCCACACACACCTTGACTAGGGACAAACCCACAACCAGGGTATGTGCCCTGATGGGGAATGGAACTGGCAACCTTTTGGTGCACAGGACAGTGCCCAACCAACTGAGCCAGGACTTGATAAGACATTTTTAATAGCTTTAGTGTTCTACCTTGCAGATGAATCCTATTTTACTTAATAATCTCCTTATTGTTGAACATTATATAGTATCCAGGGTTGACTTATAGTAAATAACTTGCACTGAATGATTTTTGTGTATATAATTCTTTGTCTGAACTTTTTATTTTTCAAGAAGGAGAAATTGGGGGTAAATTCCTAGAAGGGAAATTACCAAATGAGAAGGTTATTTTTCTATTAAAGAATAATAT